TCTACGTAGAGAAATCTTGCCACGAAATTTTTTTTTAAATTTGATATAGAATTTTGTAACATACAGTTTTGGTTGTCGATGTAACAGTGATGTAAGCCAAGAGGTATACGCATCTTTTATAGTCCAGAAACCCTTCTTCCGGGAAGGGCCAATCGGCTAGATTGTCCACATTTGCAATCAAATCGACGAAACTTTAGAAGTGACTAGTAAATTGAGAAGTTTAACAAAGTTGAACACATGTTGAGATTCAATCAATTAAATTTACTAAAATTAAATCGTGCAATCTCGAGACTTAACGTAAATAGAACTACACAATAAATTTAAACTAGTCTTTGAATAGATTGGTTGCATTTAACTCATTAGTTATATTTCGCTGAACGTTTTGTTCTTTATCAGGACAAAAGCGCTTTCAATCCACTTTTCAAAAGCGAAATTCAATCCAACAATTTGTACCGGGCGTTAAAATTTGTAAATTTACTAATACTTTAACTCGCTGCATCTAGTGTAACTTAACCACAGTTAACTTTACAGATTTATTTAATACCGAAAGTGCATTTCCAGCTCAAGGTAAATTGAATAAAATACATCTAAAACACATTTGCATTCACGATCCTTGTGGGTATAAACAAGTTTCGTCTAACTACCCAAAATATATGGAGATTTAATTCTTTTAATTAATTTTATCGATACGAAATTATTCCAATAAAATATTCTGATCATGAAACAATTTCTTTTTGGAGTCTCATCTCGGAGTTGTTTCGATTCATAAAAAATAAATGAAAAGTTGCTTTATTTTGTACGTGAGCAATCTACATGATTTATTTATATTTACGAGTTTTTTTCAAGAAATATCCTAAATTAATAAAGATAAATTTGTATCTGCTCTCGGAGAAGGCGCTAAAAAAATTAATATTCATTATCCATTAAAACAGAGATTAAAATTTTGAGAATGAAGGGGTCAAATTAATTTCAATATTAACTTTGGCGGAAACATCCGCAGGGTATCTAATTAATTTTGTTTGTGCATAATCATTCCCTGTAAAATGAATCAATTTCGGATCAACTTAATTTTACATAATTGATCTTTGTGTATTATATTATTAAGCTTAGATAACTTTAAAATCAATTACGGGTTTGCAACGGTTTATACAGCTTACGAGCTTAAGTTACAGCTATTATTGAATTTAGAATTCGTATTGATTTCGAAAATCGGATTGTTTAGCTGGTTAAACCGTTAGAACAAACATTAATTCAAAACCGAATCGAGGAAAACCGAAATGAATCCACCATGGTTGGGATGCTAATAGGGAGCGGATAGAAAAAAATGTCGTTGTTGCACAGCGATCGGAATGAGGGGTGGTGGGGGTTCAACTTCGTTTCACTTAACGCAAATCGTGATGGATGGCGTGATAAACCATCGTAAATTGTAGTTGGCACTATCTTTTTTGAAACTAACAACGTTCCGGTAACAATTTGCATTTCAAGTAGTAGCTAGTGGGATTGTAAATTCAATCTCTAAAGACAGATTGACAATTTTATTTTTTTGCAATTTATTTTCTTGTTTTGTGTCCTATCTCTTTTAGATCTAAATAACTCGAATTCTTGCGGGAGGCAACACAGAAAAGGGAGTGTGTACGTAGGGGGGACAAAGTGGGGAGAAACGACTAGTATGATGGCGAGTGCAAGAAGACGAAGAGGGAGGCGAGAAGGAGGTTGAGGCTGTGGAGAGAATACAGAGAGTTATGCAGTAGAAAGAAAACAGAATTGAGGGAGAAGGAGGCGGCAGAGATTAGGGGGATAACAAGAGAAGGCGAGCTCTGGAGGTATCTCAAAAAAGGAATGAAGGCTAGGGAGAAGATAACCAGCGAAATACACATGACAGAATGGAAGAGTTACTTTATGGGATTATTGGGAGGGGTTGAAACGAGGCTAACGGGGTTGGGAGGATATGAGGGAGATGGGGGAGAGGAGATAACAGAAGAGGAGATGGAGGCGGTGCTTAGGAGATGGGATACATAACGAAGCATGGTTGGAAGCATCAAAGGTGGTGCGAGTGAAGTTGTTGGAGGGGATGAATATCGTATGGAGAGGGGGGTGGGATTCCGGAGGGATGGAAAGTGGGGGTAATTTGCCCAGTATATAAAAAGGGTAATAAGGGAAGTGTAGAGAGCTACAGGGGAATTAACCTACTAGACTCGGCATACAAGGTATACACGAAGATACTGCTGAGAAGATTGGAGGAGGAGATGGAGTTGGGGGGAATTTTGCCGGATGGGCAGACAGGCTTTCGGAAGGGAAGGGGAGCAATCGACAACGTGTATGTGTTGAAGCATTTGGCAGATAGAGAGCTGGATAAGAAGGGAGGGAAATTGTACGCCCTGTTTATAGATTTGAAGGCGGCTTTTGATAAGGGGGAAGTTGTGGGAGGAGATGGGAGATGAGGGGGATAACGGAACACCTAATTGCGAGAGTGAAGGAAATATACATGGAGACGATGGCTAGGATAAAAGTGGGAGATAAGCTGAGCGACGTGTTCTGGACGACGAAGGGACTGAGGCAGGGATGTCCGCTGAGCCCAAGTCTGTTTGCACTGCATACGGCGGACCTGGAGGAAAGATTGGCGAAGGGGCAGATGGGAGGATTGGTGGTGGGAGGTAGAAAGGTGCATATGTTAGCGTACGCGGATGACATCGTGGTCATGGCGAGAGAAGCGGTGGAGATGAAGGAGATGATAAAGACATTGGAAAGATATTTTAGGGGGAAGGGGCTGGAAGTGAATGTGGGGAAGACAAGGATGATGAAGTTTTGTAAGGGTGGGAGAAAAAGAACAGAAAACTGGAGATGGGAGGGAAAGGAGATCGAGGAGGTTAGGGAGTATACTTACCTGGGGTATGTGTTTAGGGAGGATAACAGGGAGGGGTCGCATGTGATAGCTATGGCAAAAAAGGCGAATAAGGTGATGGGACAAGTATGGGGTTGGGGAAAGAGAGTCTTTGGAAGGAATGTGGCAGCGAGGAAGATTATGTTTGAAGGTCTGGTTAGCAGTGTGATGATGTATGGGGCAGAGGTATGGGGATGGAGGGAGCAGGGACCGCTGGAGGACGTGCAGACTAGATATTGGAGATGGGTGCTTGGGGTGGCCAGAGAAACACCGGGGTATATAGTGAGGGAAGAGGTAAAGGTGGATAAGGTCAGGGTGGAGGCGGGCAGGAGGGCAGTGAAATATGAAGAAAGAATAGAAGGGAGGCCAAGCTGCGGGATCCTGGGGGAGTGTTGGAGGGAAATTAGAGAGGGAAAGGTCAGATATGGGAAAGGACACAGAGACAACTATTATAGACGAGCGGGCTGCTCGGTAACGGAGATAAATAGTAGACGAAGGGTGGGTAGAGAGATGTGGAGGGGGTTGAGAGACAGGGACCGAGATGTGCAGAGACAGGAAAGAAGGACACAAATAAAAGAGGGAAGGTATAACGAAAGATACAGGGACATAATTACGGAGGGGCTGCCTAGATACTTGTTATTGGAAAGAGATGAGGAAGGGAAAAAGTTGGTGGCTAGGTTCCGTTGTGGAAACGAGGAGAGAGCCAACAAATACTGGATGGCCGATGAGGAGAGGTGGTGTAGGCTGTGCAGAGAGGAATGGGAAACGTTAGAACATATGCTGAATGGGTGCAGTGAGTTGAGGGAGGAGGAGATGGACCGAAGGCAGATCTTAGGAGAGGGGGGAGAGGGGAAACGATGGATGAGAATGGTGATGGGGGTGAGGAGACAAAGGGATGGGTGAGGGGATGATTGGGCCGAGGAGCCGAGGGCGTGGAAATGGAGGAAGAGGGTAGAGAGTGAAAGTAATATTTGAATAATGTAGAGAATTGTAAACAATTACTGTATACAATAAACTCTTAAAAAAACTCGAATTTGGTCTTGGAACAAAATTTTGTCTAAAAAATATGTAGTTGAAAAAATGTCAGTTGAGCAAGAAACAGAGAACAATTAAGAAAAGAAGCAAAATACCAGGAGATAATGTAAAGGTATAGATATACAAACAAAAAAACTTTCTATTGAAACAAGTTTTCAGCGTGGAATTACCCCGCATTAATGTGACCAATTTAACTTGATGTAACTTGTAACTCACCCATTCAAAGATATAAAGAAGAATTTAATTTTATCGTAAGGTCCCCACTGAAATTTTACCCAAATTCTAATCCACAACATATCTACTAAACCTCAATCTCTATTGAGCAAGTTTAATTGCCAACGAAGTTGTTCAACTAGATTAAATTGGGTATGCGATTTTCCCCCATACAAAACTTTAAAACCTACTTAACACATTTCAAACAATTAGACCCGCTAAAATATATAAAATTGACTATGTCCATAGGAGAGTTCCATTAATGGGATTGCTAACACGGTTAATTAGTTTCATTTGATTCTGGTCATAATCTTACTCTAAATTCGTATTGTTCAACAAATCCGTAAAGCCCTTGTTTTCGATTACACGAATAGATCATTAAATGTTCGTAATTAGATGTAGTTAATCTATGTACAATTTTGAAACAGAACATAAATTGTAAATGCACTAAATAAACGCGATTAACAAACAAGTTTATGGTTACGAATACAATTAGGATGGCAAAATTGGTTATAAAACCAAGAAGACAAGCAAAAAACCGTTTACGATAATTGAGAGACTTTATAACACTGTAAATGTGTTGTCTTATCGTTACATATGTAGTTCGAAATAAAATAATCTATTAAAATTAAATGAACCGATTAATTAAATTCGATTCAATTAGTTAAACGTCATTTCGAATTTAAACTAAGCTTGTGTAATTAATCCGTAAACGATATCGATTAAAGTAACAAATTATGTAATTAATGGATTTTTTAGGAAACAAAAAATAATTTGAGTTATAAAAGTTGCATAACTTTTTATTTGTTTAAAACCGGTCTAAAAAAAGATCCGATTATAGAAAATGCCAAATAAAAGGCATCACTTCTTTTTGTCAAGGTTATTTTGTACGAAAACATGAAACGAATCGCTTCGATTATTCTTCTTTGTTTCGCTGTTTTCTTGATGAAATCTTTCGGATATAAATCTGAAACGATTTCTTTGGAAGAAGTGAAAAGTTTAAAAAATAACGGAACGGTTCTATTTATAGACGTAAGAGAACCGGAAGAAATAAAATCAACCGGATTAATACCGGGATCTATTAATATACCTTGTAAGTATTAAAAAATAAAATTTATTAAACATACAGCAAAATAGTGTCTAAAGACGCACAGCTAAACCCAAAACTTTCTAGATCTAGGTCTAGTGTTAGTTCTAGTTTTAGTTCTAGGTAGCGCTAGTTATCACTAGATTTCAATATGTTGCATATTTTTATTGAACTAAAACTAGAACTAACACTAGACCCAGAACTAGAATGTTTCTAGTTCTAGGTCTAGTGTTAGTTCTAGTTTTAATTTAATTAATTCCATCTATTATATCATTTGAGTTTCAAACTCAAAAAGTACTAATTTTTAAATTTCATGTGATTTCTTCTTGAGTTTCTTTCAATAGTTTTCTTTCACAATCAACTCGAAGTCCATAAATCAAAGTAATTTATAATAACCATAAATTTAGGTTAGTTGTTTTCTGTGATTGA